AGAGCTGACCCGTGATCGGGAGCAGCTGCCGTGGCCAGCATCCCGCCCGCTCGCGCTCTGAGTTCGCGCCGAGGAGCTCGGTGATAGCGCAGTCGGGCAGCCGCTCGGCATCAGTAGGGCGTAGTTGGTCGACGCCTCTGCCTGCGCGTGGGCGAGCGCGCTCCAAGGCGGCTCTCAGTTGAGGAAGGCCCAGCGCTGGGAGGTCCTCGAAGCCGAGCAGCTCGCGCAGCTCGCTCCAGAAGGTGTCGACCGCGTGCGTGTCCTCCTGGTGGGGCGCCCAGAGCTCATGCCCGACTCTGGCCTTATGGTCCACCAAATCGCGGGGGTGGACGAGGGACTGACATCCTTGTGGGCCGATTGCGGCAAGGGCGCGACGGGCATGAGCAGGGGCGTCCTGTACCAGGCGGCGGCGCCCAGCGGCAGCGCGGCGGCGCTCAGCGGCCGCTGAGCGAGCAGCGGGGGCGTCGCCGACGATCCCCTTCGAGTAGTGCGCGAACTTCCCGGGGACAGTGTGTAGCGCCGCTTGCCGGCCAACTGCGTAGTCGGTGTGGGTGGCCTCCGCGTGAGTGATGTGCTGGGCCGCAGACGCCTGGCACTCGACCAGGTGAGCGCCATTTCCTCGAGAGGGGCCTCGGCCTTGCTGGGGCCCCCGTGCGCGACGCCGTGGGGCCGCCTCGACCTGGCGGAGCCATCTGGCGTAGGCGTCGCTGAGGGGCCCGATGACCTTGGCACCGACGCGGTAGGCGGCCGATTTGCCAATCGCTGCTCACGGTGTAGAAACTGGAGCCCTGGCGTCGGCCGCCCGCTCTCACGTATGATCAATAATCCAGTAAGTAACGTCTCCATCACCATCTGGGCAATCGTCGCGAACGGGCGAGAGAGACAGGGTGGGGCCCGGTGGGGTGCCAAAGGCCGTGATTGCCTCGCCCCAGAGCCAGGGCGGCTCCGAGACTGATTTCCGCCGACTTCCTCCACCGCCACTCGGCCGACGTCGTCTGGCCCGCGGTCGGAAACGCCCTCCTGGTGCGGCTCGGCCTCGGGGGGCTCCCTGATCTCCTCGAACGGTGGGAAGCCCTGGCCCTCGTCCCCGTCCAAGCAGTCGAACGGGTCAGCGTCATCCTCATCCATGGTGTGACGCCTGGGGGCTGCCCGGGCCTGGGGCCCGCCGCCGTCGCCTTCGCCGGCAGTGGGGCGGCGTCGTGGGCGGCGGCCAGCAGCGGCGACTCGGCGATGGTGCTGAGGCTGCGAGTGTTGGGCTGGGGCGGCCTGCCAGAGGGCGCGCCAGCCCAACGCTCGTCCTCGCGGGGGGCGCATCGTCCTGCGGCGGCGGCAGCAGCAAGTTCAAGTTCGTCAACCCACGAGTCGTCGTCGTCGCTGGAGGAGAACCCTTCGCCGTCCGTGTCATCGGTGGACGCGTCAGCCCTGAGTGGCTCCGAGTGGTTGCCGACGGCCTCCTTCAAGAAATCATCGCGCTAGGGCCTCGCGCCGCTTGACCGAGGCTGTCGGCGGCAGGCGGGGGCGGGCGCCCGCGGGTAGTGGCCTCGGCAACACTAAGCGTCGCGTCATCAACTGCTGGCCGCTGCCGAGGAGCTCCACCGGGAGGCCGCAGTGGGTCTTCCAGGGGGCGGCCTGCGCCTCGCGGAACTCCGCGATGTACGGTGTGCAGGATGTCGAGCACAAGCCGCAGTCGATGTGCGAACCCGTGGCGCCAGCAGCACAAATGGAGGTCGCGTTGCACTGTGTCGCGTGCCCGCCGACCCGCTCCACGAAACATCGCTGCTGCAAGACCGACTGTCCCATGTTGAAGTCGCCGAGCGCCGGCCGGAGCAGCTGCAGGGCCGTGGGCAGCGCGCCGAGGCGAGCATGCCCGCGCAAGTTCCCCCGCCCAGCCAAGAGACGAAAAGGCGTGGAAGACGATGGCCACCACGTCGTGACCCTGCACGTGCAGCGCGCTGGCCTGGAAGCCGTCCAGGTCGGAGGCGGGCGCGCGCAGCCGCCTGGGCGCGGGTGCGGTGGCCTCCAGGCGGTGCGCGTGGAGGTGCTGACGGGCGAGCAGCCGCTCGCCGCCCTCAGTGCCACCTCCGCTCGAATCGCGGGCGGGATTGGCGTGGACTCGCCATCCAGCACGCTTCGATTTGCGACTCCACTCTTCCAACTTGGACGAGGTGCGGGCGTGCGCCTCCCCCAAACCCAGAACATCATAGTTGGCGCGCTCCTTCTCCACGAACTCCCAAGCCTGCTGCCCCATCGCAGTGATGTTCGAGAAGAAGAGGGTGCGGCTGTGTCGAGGTGGCTTGTCGCGAGCCACGGGCGCCCCTTCGATGATGAGCCCTCGTCATGGTGTTGACGCTCCGCGCGAGCAGTCGGCTACGCCTGCGGCGGTGGCTGACCCCGCAGCACCAGGGAAACAATCATCACTGCCAGAAATGCCAACGCCTGGCATCACACATCGCGGTCCTCGGCGTCGGGCGGCGCCGCGTGGGCGGCGGGCGGCGCAGCGACTGGGCCAGCCGAGCCTGAGGCACCGCGAGCTGCCTTGGCTGCGGTCGCCTGCTCGGCTGCCTTGAACTTGGCCTGGCTCAGCTTGGCGGCGGCCGCAGCCAACGCGGGGTCACCTGCCTCCTTGGCAGGACACCCCTGGGGCAACACCAGCACCCTTCGCGGCGGCGACGTTGACAGGGGCTGCTGCAGCTGCTGCCGCTGGCGCATCTGCTGCTGCTGCTGCTGCTGCTGCGGGTGCTGCTGCTGGTGCTGCCGTCGCCTGCACAGGGTCCTGGGCGTCGCCGTCGCCGCCCTTGCGCTTCTCGGCCCAGCACTGGCGGCTGGTGGCGGCGAGACGCCGCGCGGCGGCAAGCTTCTCGCGGACCTCCCCCGAGTGGGAGTGGAAGAGGTCCTTCGCCGCCAGGAGCTCCTTGCGGAGGCTGGCCAGGCTGCTGCGCTCCTGCTTATCGAGCTCCACCAGGACGTCCGCCGAGAAGATCGAATCGTCCCAGCGCAACTGGAAGAACTCGGCCGACTCTTCGGTAGTCGCAACCGCGGCGGCTGCGCCTGCTGAAAGCGCGGGGGCTCCCAGCGCCGCCACTGCTGCGGCAACCTTCTGCTTGGCGGCCTCGGCCTCGGCCAGCGACAAGGCGAGCTCACGCTCGAGGGCTTCGGCCGTGCGAAGGCTCGGGGAGCAGGAGGAGGAGGAGGAGGAGGAGGAGGAGGAGGAGGAGGAGGAGGAGGAGGAGGAGGAGACCGCGGAGGAGGAGGAGGCGGACGAGGAGGAGGAGGAGGACGAGGGCGAGGAGGAGGAGGAGGAGGAGGAGGAGGAGGAGGAGGAGGAGGAGGAGGAGGTAGAAGAGGAGGAGGAAGAGGAGGAGGAGCAGGGGGAGGAAAGGAGGAGGAGAAGGAGGAGGAGAAAAAGGAAGAGGAGGAGGAGGAGGAGGGGGGCGTTTTGGCAACGCTTCCTATGTGCTTTCGTTTCCCCTTGGATCTTTTTCGGAGGCTGTCGCTTCGACGAGGCGCCTGTGCGAGGCCCACCAGGGCCCATAAACGTGCAAGACCATTGGTCCTCGAGCTTCGATCCTAGATCTCGGTCGGGCATGTCCTCCTGCAGGCGGTTTTTGGAACAATAAAACATGCTCAACAACATATTGAAAAGCAACAGGTAACTCGTCCCCAGGATTTCTTGTGTGACTACTTTGGAATCTTCCTCTTGTAGAGGGACGTGCCTGGCTTAATCCTAGAACTTGCTTCATGCTGCGGCCTGCAGCGGACACACGACGAAAGCCGCATGATAACTACTTCGAGTCAAGTCAAGTCTGGTTGAGGAGCCTCTGGATGCATGTCGCTCACCAAGCGGAGACGGAGGGCGTGAGACACTACGGCAGCATAGCGCGCATGCGTGAGAGAAATGGCGGATGCGGCAACCTAGAGCGCATGCGCGAGAAGTACTTCGGATGTTGGTGAATCTTGAATCTCTGAGTCGGCGGGTCTGGAGACTGCATGGGGCGCCGCGGCTGTTTCACAGCGTTCTGGAGCGCCCTGGAGTGAATCATCTTCATTCTGAACCTGCCTGGGCACGGCCGCGGAGGACTCCTTTTGATCATGGCGACCTCCAGGAGATGACGGGCGCACGATGTTCTTCAAGAGGCGATGGTACGTATGTGTATGAGTCTGGCCCTGCCTGGGCACGGCCGCGGAGGACCATTTTTGATCATGGCGACCCCCTGGAGATGATGACACACGATGTTCTGCAACAGGCGATGGTACGCGTGTCTCTGAGTTAGCGTCGGTCCGTGGGCTCTTTCAGAAACCCAGCTGGCGCCTGAGCTCTCTCACGAGCCGGGCCGCAAACTACGCAAGGAAACAACACAGCAGGATCGTCGTGACGCTCCTGTGTATGTACCTCCCGAGAGGCTCTGCGTTCATTGTGTGATCAGGGCGGCACCCTACAGGGCAGTTTTAAATACATCGGATATTTGAGAATATAGGGTTCTTTATACATGATTAATGTATGAATAGATTTATGCATGAACTCATCGTTGTTTTTTAATACTAAATCCCTGCATTTTCAATACATGATCCGCACGCGGAGCATGTATAAAAAACGGCACTGTACTCATTCGTTCACGCTCGGTCCTCGGACCCCTCCCGAGGAGGTCCCCCCGCCCAGACCAGATCTCCCAGCCTTCGCCCCGCCGCCCCGCCCCGCGCCGCTCTCCGAGCCGACCTCCGAGAAATGCCATAACACCTCCGCACAGACGACGTTGACGACGCCCCCAGACTTGCGACATCCGAAGATGCTCCAATCCGTGGGCGCCAAGAAGTTTCGTCCCCTCCCCCGGGGACGGTTTTGCGCCCCGGGTCCATCTTGGATGCCCCCCCCAGGCGAGAAACGTGCCCCCAGAGGCCGGAGCCGAGGCGAAGCCACAGGGACTTCCGAACCAGTTCGCCAGTTCGGACCTCCGAAACGGCGACGACGACGACGCCGACGCCAACAACGAGACCGCTGGAGCCTGCAGCGCACGGGCTTGGATGGCGTCCTTGCAAGCGAACATCCTGGCGAGGGCGGCCTGGTCGGCGAGCCACTCCGGGTCCTGGTGCCTCTTCGGCCGGAGCCAGAGCTCGCTGTGGCACTGTCGCTCCTCGGGCCAGGAGGGGAAGGAGGAAGAGAGAGGATGAGGAAGAGGACGAGGATGAGGATGAGGACGAGGAGGAGGAGGCGGAGGAGGAGGAGGAGCAGGAGGAGGGAGGGGGGGGAGGAGGAGGATGAGGATTATGATGATGCTGCTGATGATGAGGAAGAGGAAGAGGGGGAGGAACACTGTAAACCCAAGACGCATCAACGACGTTGCACTGAACCCTCCCTCCAAATGCCCTCCGCATACGTCCCTGCAATATTTGTTCATAGCTGAAAATTCCTCGTTGGAAGACCGTGTCAAAACATCTTTCCTGGGACTTCAGCGCCACGAGTCCACGTGATTGTTGCGTCCTGACAATCCTGAACCGTGCTGGAACACCATTCCTGTGACTTCACCATGCAAATCCTTGACGCTGCTGCAAACTTCAAGCATGATAGTGCGCGGCGCCAGAGCGAGAGCCACATTCTGCAAAGGAGAGGAGTTGCCTTCCGTCCTTGAAGCTGTTGCATGTTTTAAGCCGAGTGTGCACGGTGCTAAAACGAGAGCCACATGTTGAACATGTGCCGCCTTCCATCCCTAAAGCTAATGCGAACTCTTAAGCTGAATATGCGCGGTGCGAGGGCGAGAACCACATTCTGAAAACGATCCGCTCTCCATCCTTGAAGCTGTTGCACATTTTGAGAACGAACGCGCGCGGCTCTAAAACGAGGGCCACCAAACAATCAGCCGCTCTTCATCCAAGAGGATGTTTCAAATTTCAAACTTCAAGGGACATCAATGGTGAAGAGCTATCAGGCGCAACGGCGGGCCCATCCTGGTGACATGTCTTGGGGTGCGACAGGATGGAATTCAGCATTTTAATTGATGATATGAGGAGGAGAAGGAACGAGGGGCGAGGAGAGAGGAATGGGAGCAAAGAGGAGGGGAGGAGGAGGCGGAGAAGGAGGGGGAGGAGGGGGAGGAGGGGGATGATGATGATGATGATGATGATGATGATGATGATGATGATGATGATGATGAGGAGGAGGAGGAGGCGGAGGAGGAGGAGGAGGAGGAGGAGGAGGAAGAGGAGGACGAGGAGGAGGGGGAGGAGGCTCCGAAGCCGTTTTGGCTCAAGTCCGTAGCGTTTCGCTCAGGGTCTTGACCTGGTGGTGAGGGGGATGTAGCGGCCCCCAAGTGCTCTCCTGGCTCGTTTCACGCTCACTTTACATCATGATTCGCGTACGGTATCCTCTCTTACACCGTACTCTCGGCGGCCGATGGTTCCAAATCCTTCTTCTCGCTTCTCTTATCATCCCTGGGTTCAGTCTGGGGGCGATGGCAGTGGCGATGCTGGCTGGGTCACCAAAGGGAGCAATAAAAATAAACCGCCAACCACAGGTTTCGCATGTCCGTCGTGTGGTTGCAAGCGCAACGCCCCCGAAGCCGTTTGGTGCAAACATTGTCGTATCTCGCTGCCGCGCTTGTCTCATGGCATGCCTCCCGGCCCTGCTGCTGGCAGTCCCTGGGCTTCAAGCTCTTCGCCTCCTGGATGCTGGAACGGTCAGAGCAACAACGGCATGTACGGGTGTGGGAAGGGCGCCTTCCCAGGCTGCAAGAGTGGCAAGGGCTTCGGTGGCAAAGGAGGTTTTGGCAAAGGATACGCTGACACGAGCTGGAGTACTTGGAACCCTTCCATGTCTATGCAGCTCAGCAGTGAACGAACATCGCTCGGAGACACTCAACCAGGTGGTGGAGCCCCGCCTCTTCCAGTGGGCCCTGTTCCTCGTGTGTCCGCAGCGGAAGCTCGTCAGCTGTCAGAACTGTCCAGCAAAGCGGGGGACTTGTTGGCAGCCAAACAATATGATGCCATGGCCGAGCATCTGGAAGCAGAGTCGCGTCCGCCACCTCCCATGTCTACTCATGCCAAGATGCAGAGGGCACACAAGGATGTCCAGCATTGGGAGGCTAGCGCGGAGAAGGATCTGCAGCGCCTCACGAAGGCCAAGGAGCAAGTTGTCGAGTTCGAGAAGGCGCTGCGCGACTACAGAGCTCAGCTCGCCTCCGCCTTCTCCGCCTACTTCAGGCGGAGAAGGCGGACGAGGATGCCGAGGCCGCGCCACCACATGCTGCTCCTTCTGTCAAGCTCGGCGGCCTGGTGTCAGGCAAAATCAGCATCGGCTCTTTCATCGACTGTGACGACCTCCTCGAGGACCTGCCGGCGGCCGGGGTGGACATCGATGAGTTAGACAGGGCTGAGTTCGAGAATCGCCGCGCGGCCCTGGTGTCTGGGGTTCAGGAGCTCGCGCAGAAGCTCTGTCAGCAAGTGGCGGACTCTGGCAAGTATGCTCGTGCTGCTCATGAGGCTCACCGTGCGAGGATGGCGGCCAAGAAGCGTCGTGCTACAGAGGAAGGTGCTGCTGCTGCTGGAGGAGGAGATCGCGACTACGCAGCCGCGGCGCAATCTGCTCAAGGAGCTGCAGATGAGGCCACACCTGAGTCAGGCGCTGCTGGTAGCACGGCTGCCTCGTCTTCGCCTGAGCCTCCCAAGGCAGACATTCGTACCAGGGCCGATGGGGCGCTGCAAGAAGAAATCGGGCCACCCCTCACGGCCTCGTCAAGGGGGGCCCATTGACCTTGCAACTCGAGGCCCAGGCTCGAAATCTTCGTGGGAGCTTGATAACTTTTTAGCCTCTCGAGTTTCGGTGATTGGTTCCAGGGTCCAGGCGACTGGGGTCCGACTTTTTAAACGCACTCAGGTTGCTTCTGGAGTTTTGCAGGGGAGGTCCTCCTTTTTGGCACCGCTCCGTCCAAAAGAACAGGGTCCTATGGCACCGCTCCCGTTGCTCGTTTGCCTCTGCCTGGCGCGGCCCGGCAACATCCGACGTCTGCTGTTCTCATCGTCTCGCCCAGCAAGCCCGTCAGGGAGCTGGGCGCGCGGTTGGTGCAATCCGAACCATCTTTTCCACTTTCGAGCTCGGTGCCGGCACGGTGCGTTAGGGCTTATCGCGCCCCTCCCGTTGCTCCAGCCTCTGCCCCCGCTGAAGGTGCCGACACCGCGGCTGCACTGCCCCTCGTTGATGGTCTGAAGGCAGTGTCGGTCAAAGCTAACTCGTGGGGCACCCTCAAGAATTACCTGGAAGCGTCGGACTCGCACATTGTCCTCGCCCAGGAACATAAGCTGCGTGATCGAGGATCGTGACCAAGCTTCGAAGTCATCGCTTTTCCTTGGATGGAAGGGCATTTGGGCATCTGGAGTTCCTGGAGTCGGGGGTGGAGTCAATAGTGGTGTCTCTGTTTTTGCCCGAAGCGGCCTCGGCATGTTCACTTGCGACAAGCAGGTCTTAGCCGAGGGCAGGGCCGTGACGGCCATGGTGCACGTGCCTGGCTGCGCCCCGTTCTGCATCTACTCCCTCTATCTCTGCCACAGTCAAAGTCTCTCGGAGGCTAAACTTGAAATCCTTCGGGTCGTGGGGGAGTTCTTGGATGGGGTGGGATGTGAGTTCACTGTGGGGGCGGATTGGAATTTCAGGCCTGACGAGCTCGAACAGGCGAATCTCGCCAGCAAGCTTGGGGCCTCTTTTTTTATCAGCCCTGCTGGGCACACTCATCTCCCCAGCGTCGGTCCCCCCGACAGGTTCTATTGTCTTTTGTTTTATCTCTGAAGCTCTTGGGCTGTGCCTCAAGGACGCGAAGGTTGCTGATGACTCCTCCCTCGCTCCGCGCAGGCCCGGGGCCATGGCATGTCATCGCTCTCTTGGTGACTTGCAGGCTCTCGCCGTCCGTCGACTCCCCTCCCCTGTCCTGCCTGTGGATGCCCCCCTGGGTCCTGCCCCGTGCCCGGGAGAGTGGGACGGTGCTCTCTCGCTCGCTCAGGAGGCGTTCGGCGCTCGGGGGTCTGGGGATTCCAAGAGAGCTAGTAGGATGTTGAGCCCAGGATGCAAGGCTCGGGCCAATGCTGCGGCAAGGGACCTGGTCAGCATCTTGGGAGCGGACGTTTCGAGCTTTGGGATGAGGGGTTAAGGACCCCAACTGTTTTGGAAGTCTGTGTTGACGCCTGCAGGCCGCGTGAAAGATCCGAGCTTGCACGGCATTCTGTGGCTTTTCAACCAGCTGCGTTCTGTCAGGTGTTACCTTGGCGAGGTCCTGCAGGTCGGTGGTCACCAAGCTCTGGAGGCTCCTGAACATCCTTCAGCCTCGGTGATGGGGGCCGTGGGCTCAGTCCGGGCCAAATTTTGGCTGTGCTGCCGCCAGCGTAGCTAGATCCGCTCGCGCGGATCCTAGCGACCCTGTGCTCCTCGAAGATCCTGATGATCTCATCGGAGAGGTCGCGGCTGCAGCCCGGGAAGCTAAGGCGACTTCATCGAAGGCGTCCAAGAAATAATGGCACGACTGGCCATTGTCAGGTTTGGACAAAGGGGGTTAAACGTGCAGAAAGCCATTCGTGAGCCTTCTGCTTGGGGCCCTACGACCACCCTTTCGCGTTGTGGCGTGGTGGTTGCGGACCCCGTCAGCCTTCTCAAGGCGGAAGGGGGCAAGTTCAGTGTGGTTTGGGAGCAGGGTAGTTGGCAGCAAGGTTTACTCGGTCAAGGTGTTGGCAGTGCTATCCTTCCCCACTCGCCCCTCTTGGAGCCTCCTGAGATTCGTGCCATTTCTAAGAAGTATAAGCCTGCCTCGGCTGTTAGTGTGGACGGTTTCCACTGCTGTCATTTTGCCCTCCTCCCTGACGTCGCGCTCCAAACGTTAGCGTTGTGGTTTACTGTCATGCAGGGTACGGGTGCTCTCCATGCGCGGATTGCCTGGGTTCTTCTGGATTTGTTAGAGAAGCCAACTGGAGGCTTCAGACCTATTGGAGTGTTCCCCAGCTGGCACCGTATTTGGGGTCGTGCCAAAAGAAACGAGGCGTTGAGATGGGGGCTTCCCTTCCCTTGTGATTTTTGGGCCGCTGGAGCCTTCCGAGGGGCTGGGGATGTCGTGTGGAGACATGGCTTCAGGGCCGAACGCGGGACCCACAGAGGCCAGTGCACGACGGCTATTTTCTGGGATCATCTGAAGTACTATGAGCACATCGATTTGAATTTCTTGTGTCACAAGTGTCTCCTGCACCGCTTTCCTGTCTGCCCGGCCATGCTGGCCATCCAGGCCTATTCGTCGGCTTGCTTCCTGGCTCTCGGAGGCACTGTGAAGGGCCCTTAGTTTGTTAAGAAAGACAGAGTGGCGGGCTGTTCTTTTGCCGCTTGCCTCATCAGAGTGTTTGCTATGGAGGCCTTCGGCAAAACCCCCGAGAGCCTGGCAGGTGCTATTTTGCTGTCTACATAGATGGCCTTAGCTTGAGTGCTACTGGTACGGCTACGGAAGTCATCGCCGCTCTCTCGCCCGTGGAGCTCGAGCTCTGCACTCTGCCATCACCTGCGCGCTCCAGTGCAAGCTGGCCGTGGACAAGGTCGGCATGGCCAGCAGCATCAGCTTTGCGTCCAAACAATTGCAGGGGTCGCTTGGCCCACTGGTCGGCTCAGCTTGCACTAGAATCGCCAACTTATAGGGGGCCACATGCGAACCCTACCCCTACCCCCCACGATTCTGAGAGGGAGGGTGGGGTTCACTTCGCTCGGGAGCTCCCGAAAGAAGTGAACCCCACCCTCCCCCTCAGGAATCGTGGGGGGTAGGGGTAGGGTTCGCATGTGGCCCCCTAACTTAGGTTCTGGCTTCACTGCTGGCCGACCTGTTCGGGCCCCCGGGAAAGGCAGGGCAGCCAACACGAGAGCTCGAGCAGCCGCCGCCCTTCGCAAGACCGAACGGTTGCATGGCCTCGGTGAGGCGCTGGGGCGCAAAGGCCCCTCAAGCTTTTGCTGCGGGCCCTCTGGCGGGGCCGTGTACACCATGCGAGATGCTTAAGAAATCATAAGAAATTCATAGCCTCAGAACTTGAATCAAAACCCAATATTTCTATTAACATCTTAGGATTTACATTGAAACGTTAAGACACATCGAGACTCCGGCCGAAAACTCAAGTTTTCTTAAGCACCGCCTAAAGCGTATGGCTCGGACCTCTACGGCGTGAGCTGGTCTTGTGGCGAAGGTTGGCCATGCCGTGCAGCAGGCCCGGGGCTCCGGGCAGGCCCCTCTGCGTTTTCCCGCTCCCGGGAAGAGGGCGATGCCCACGTGGCGAGGCAACTGCGCCCCGATCGCTCGGTGGTCCAGGGAAATCACCCACTTCATCCTCGAACAGCTCGAGAATTGTTGCTACGACGCGAGCCGAGCCAGGGTTCGCTAACGGTGACGTCGTGGACGACGACGACGACGGTCTCTGACGGCGACACGCTGTCAAACCACACGCGCGGCGGGGCGCCCAAGACCGGGCAGCCCCCCCCCCTTTCTCGCCAATTCTGAGAACCCGATTCTGAGAACCAGCGCCTTCCCGTGGTCTCTTTCCAGGGCTGGAATGCGCAGTGGTTGGGAGTCGGTCCTTTCCTCGGACAAGCACGCTTTGGGCCTCCGTGCGAGGCCCCACTTCTGCGTCGAGAATGACTCTTTGCGGACTCGGCTGGTCGATGCCGAGCTTCTGTACTATTATAAACGACTTTGGCCGAGAGATTTCGCTGACCCTGTCCAGTCCGAAGCTTGTCTAGGTTTTTTGTAACGAAGCTGTTCTTCGTTCCTGAGGGCGCGAATCTGGGGGCAAGGGCGGCACTGGTTTCAGACTGTGTTGGGACGTGGCCAAAAACATCTTGGAGTCCAGGAAGGTCGGGGGCAAACCGAAGGCTGGGTCAGGGCGTTGGCCACCAAGGCCTGTTGGTCTGCAGGGGATATGGCCTCAGCAGGGTATGTTTTCTCGGACCGCTGCGCCTTGTGCGGGGTTGCCAGGGACACCGTGTTCCGCCGCATCTACGAGTGCCCGAGTCTACAGTCGGAGGGAGATGCAGTTCTACCCCCACGGCTTCAAGAAGATGCCCGCAGCGGAGGTCCAGACGCTCCCGAGTCGGCTCTCTCCTTGTACGGGGCCTTCAAGCACCCTGGGGATGTCGCTCCTCCTCCTGCTACGACGGCGGGGGCAGCGTTGGAGTGATCTACGGAGCTGCTGCCAAACCCGTCAGTTGCTGCTGCTCCTCCCTCCGTTCCTCCCGCCGGCGGGCTCTGGGGGCATCTTTCCATGGGCGGCTCGTGCCGCCGCCACACCGCTAGGGAGCTTTCTCGTGCGGGGTGGGCTGTGGTCACGGTCCCTCCGTCCGGGGAGCGCCTCGGGGTTGTCACAGGACCCCTGCGGGCCCCGTGGCCCCAGACCCCCCAGGGCTCGGAGTTTGGGGCCCTGGCTTGGGCTGGACTCTACGCGGCAGGCCCCTCACACTGATTTTCTGATAGCAGTAACGTTGCCGGTCTTATGAATCTGGGGGAAGCTGATGCCACCTCAGGCAAATGCCAGTATGCTGGTTTAGTTCTTCGAGCGCGACACCATTTTGGTCGCCATGTCAAGCCGTTCGTGAAAGTGGCCGCCCATCGTGACATCGACGAAGAGGGTCTCAATTCGCGAGAACGGTTCTTGCGTCTTGGGAGCCACTACGCCGACATTGCGGCTAAGGAAGCGGTTGCGGCGCATCCGACGTGGTCTCCTTATGAAGAGGAGGAGCTTCAAATATGCATCAGCATTGTGCGTTTTGTTCTTTTGGCTGGAGCGGTGCTCTTGTCGCTGTGGCCGAAGCTGGAGTTCAGAGGGATGGAGCGAGCCCCACCACCCCCTCCCACTGATGCGCCTGCTCTCGAGATTTGCCACGATTGGGCCAAACAGGGATCCTCATGGCGATGTTGTGTTTGCCTCCGGTCCTGTTCGAGGTCCAAACCTGCCGGTGGTCCGGTCCGTGTCCTGGGCAGAGCCCCCTGGACCAGGGAAAATTGGAGTCCCTGGGCCACCGAGTCACTGCATTCCCCTGCAGTGACCGTTCTCACCTGTTCCTTTGCATGCCTTGCACGGTTTATAGCAGTGGAGGTCAAATCTTAGGCCTGGGCCGTAAGTGCGGACCCCCTACGGAGACGGGAAGGAAGAACCAGTCCCGCCTTCGTAAACGCCAGCACCCTGATAAGAAGGGTGCTACTGTGGACCTTGACGAGTTCATCCCACTGCTACCATTCTTGCAAGTAAATTCGCTGCTCCATCAGTTCGCCCCTGGCTGTTGTTGCAGTTCGCTGTTCAGGGGCATGAGGTGCCGCTGCCAACAAAAAGAAGAGGAGGAGGAGGAGAAGGAGGAGGAGGAGGAGGAAGGAGCGGCCCCGACGACAAGCTATGCCCTGAAAGCGGATAGCGTGCCTCTCCTCTCCGCGTGGCGGGAGGCTCGGACAAAAAAAGCTCGGGACGTCGACGCTGACCCTCGCTCGTGAGGCCAGGAGGAGGGGAAGGAGGAGAGAGGCAGGGGAGGAGTAGGTGGATCCCCTCGTCCCAAGCCCCCTCCTAATGAGGAGGAGGAGGAGGCGGAGGAGGAGGCGGAGGCGGAGGAGGAGGAGGGGGAGGAGGAGAGGGTGAGGGGAGGAGGAGGAGGAGGAGGGTCAAGATGGAGACGAGAGGAGGGGAGGAAGAAGGAGAAGGATGATGATGAATGATGATGATGTGAAGATGAGGAGGAGGAGGAGGAGGAGGAGGAGGGGAGGAGGAGGATGGTGGAGGAGGAGAAGGAGGAGGAGGAGGAAGCAGGAGGTGGATGCGGGGGAGAGGCGGAGGAGGAGGGAGGAGGAGGAGGAGGAGAGGAGGAAGAGGAGGGGAGGAGGAGAGGAGGGGAGGTAGGATAGGAGGAGGAGAATGGAGGAGGAGGATGGGATGATGATGATGATGATGATGCTGCTGATGATGATGATGATGATGATGGATGAATGATGATGATGATATGATGATGATGAGAGGAGGAGGAGAAAGAAAAAGAAGAGGAGGAGGCCGATTGATGAGGAAGACAGCGAGGAAGAGAAGGAAGGAGAAGGAGGAGGAGGAAGGAGGATGAGGATGAGGAGGGGTAGAAAAAGGATGAAGATGATGATGATGAGATGATGATGATGATGATATGATGAGGAGGAGGAGGAGGAGGAGGGGGAGAAGGAGGGAGGAGGAGGAGGGAGGAGGAGGAGGAGGAGGAGGAGGAGGAGGAGGAGGAGGAGGAGGAGGAGGAGGAGGAGGAGGAGGTGGGAGAGAGGGGAAGGAGTGCCGCCGGGCCGCTCGAGCTCCTCGGCTATCCACTCGGCCAACGCCTTCGCGCCCAGCCGCCGCCCGGCGACGACGACGAAGCCGACGACGACGAGGCTGACAATCGCCGGCCAGGTCGACGATGACGATGGCGGAGCCGCGCCCGAGGAACCGCGATGGCGGTGGCGACGACTTCGCCGCCGACGACGACGAGGCCGACGAGCGTCGACCGGGCCGACGAAGACGACGACCACGGCGGCGGCGGCGAGCACGGAAGCGACGTCGGTCACGACGGCGGCGGAGGCGACGCGTTGGCGGCGAGCAACGCCTGCCCGCTGTCGAACTCGCGCAGCCGGAATCTCAAGGAGTCGCCAGCCGCGTAGGGTACCAGCGCCGAACGGTCCGAGGGCAGCACCATGCCGAGCAGGGCGGTGGCTACCGAGGGGGGCCTCCGCGGCAGCGGGGAGCTGCAGTCGCGAGGAGGAGGCAGGGAAGGAGGAGCAGCAGCAGCAGCGATTAGGAGGACAAGGAGGAGGAAGACGAGGAAGAGCAGGAGAAGGAGGAGGGTGATGAGGACGAGGAGGAGAACGAGGACGAGGGCAAAGATGACGATGACGACGGCGATGCTGATATTGATAATGACGATGCTGATGATAACGGCGATGAGATCGAGGTTGATGATGGTGAAGCGAATGATGAAGATGCTGGTGTTGAGTCTGATGATTCTGGTGCTGCTGATGATGATGATGCGGATGCTGCTGATGACGATGGTGATGATGGTGTGATGAGGATGAGGATGATGATGATGATGATGATGATGATGATGATGATGATGATGATGATGCTGATGCTGCTGATGATGATGCTGCTGATGATGATGGTGACGATTGTGCTGGTGATGATGGTGACGGTGATGATGATGGTGATGCTGCTGATGATGATGAGGTGTGTATTCGACAGCGCCGCGGGGCGGGTCTTGCCCGTTCCCCGCGGCGGGCGGCGCGCGCGGACGCTGCGCGCGCGTCGTCCCGCTCACCTCCTCGTCCTCCACCAAAGACCTCCCGCCTCGCAAGCGGCCCTGACCCTGGCCTTCGGGTCCTCCCTTCGCGCTGGGCCCTGTCCCGTCCCCCTTCTCCGCGTCGCTGTGCACCAGGATGCCGTTGGACTCCAACTCCAGGGCGGCCTCCAACGTCGTGAAGACCTCGAAGAGCTTGGTGCACTGTCGAACGAGAACCTGACCACTATCACTGCCACCGCGGCACGGCCACCCTCGGCGGCGCACTCCCCCAACGCGTGGCAGCCGAGGCGCTCCCAGTAGCGCGTCGCGAAGGCCGCCTCGTCGACGAAGCCGCCGTCGGGCGCCCGCCTGCGCTCGCGGCGGTGCGGCCTTGGCGTCCCGTTCCGCCCTCGGGGGGCTGGCTCCTCAACTCGCTCAGATCGCTCTCCTACGGCTCCTTCAGCGGGCCCTCCGACTGGTTCGAACTCTCCTGCTCGCTCGATTGATCCGCCTCCACGTCGGCCTCCTGCAACCCCGCCTTAGCCGCGCTCGCCTGCGCGACGCCGTCCTCGACACCAGCGGAAACGGGAACGTCCTCGTCGCCCTCCACGTCGACCGTCGCATCCGCAGTTGCCGCTTGCTCACCCACAAAGCCGTCCTCTGCGGGGGGGGGGCCCGCAAGAGGGAAACCTGGCGCCAGCAGCCTGCCCGCCTGCTCCCCGTCCTCGCCGTTCGCCTCGTCGTTCGATGTGTCTACGCTCTCCTGCGCGCCCACCTCGGCAGAGCGAGCGCTCCGCCAGCCGCCAACCTGCCTCCAGGCCATCCACGAAGGCCACGGCCTGCGGGCGCGACTTCAGCGGGAGCCAAGTCCCTGGCGCGAGCGCCAGGAGCGCGTGCGCAGCCCCTCGCACTCGAGGTCGAACTGGCCGAAGACCTGCTCCTCCTGAACCTGCTTCTCCTCCGTGGTGGCGCCGTCCATTGCCAGCCAGTCCATCAGCGCGTCCTCGTCGGCGCCATGCAGGAGGGGGGGGGGGCGCAAAGCTCCAGCACCAACAAGCGCCCACGGGCGGCACCTCCCGCTGCGCCTGGCGCATCTCCATGCGGTCCTCCTTCTGCAACCTGCGGTGCTGAGGCAAGACAGCAGCGCCGCGTTCCTCCGCCGACGGCGCCATTCCCCTCAACAAAACCCAGAGGGCCTGGACAAGCGCCGCGACGCGGTCGGCCAGCTCCGGCTCCCCCATGATGGCTGCGTAGCTGTTCTGCACAGCCTGCAGCTCGCCGCGTTACTTCTGGACCTCCGACTTGGCAGCAGCCAGTCCGTGATCCGCCGCCAGCAACGCCCGCCGCTGTGCCGCCGTCCGAGTCTTCCTCGGCTCCTGCCTCCCTCCAGGATCGCCGCCTGGTGACCCTGCCAGCGCCACCATGCTCGCGCCGCGCGTCCACCACACGGGGGCAGCGAAGGAGCTGGCTTGAGCCAAAACCGCTGCGGATGATGATGATGATGATGATGATGATGATGACGATGATGATGATGATGATTATTATGATGATGCTGATGATGATACTGGTGTTGATGATGGTGATGGTGACAATGATGATGATGCGGACGACGATTAGGATGCTGCTGCTGCTGCTGATGATGATGATGATGATGGCGGTGCTGATGCTGAACGTTATGGTGATAATGACAATGGGGTTGATGAGGGCGATTGTGATGCTGATGATGTCTATGACGACAATGCTGATGACCATGTTGATGATGGTTCTGATGATGATGCTGATGATGGTGATGGTGATGATGATGATGACGCTGTAGGTGATGATGAGGATGATTATGATGATGATGCTGGTGTTTTCGTTGTCGTGTTTATTGCTGTTGTTTCTGGTTGTTGGTTGCGATGGTGATGTTGATGGTGATGGTGATGCTGCTGATGATGATGATGATGACTGTGCTGATGATGATGATGATGATGCTGGTGGTGGTTCTCTTGATGATGAGGAGGAATCTGATGACGATGGTGATGATGCTGCTGCTACTGCTGCTACTGCTGCTGCTGATGATGTTGAAGAGGATGATGATGATGATGATGATGATGATGATGATGATGATGATGATGATGATGATGATGATGCTGATGATGATGCTAATGACGATGAGGATGCGGCTGCTGATGATGATGATGATGCTGCTGATGATGAGGATTCGGATGATGCTGATGATGGTGGTGATGCTGATCATGCTGATGACGAGGGGGCGGATGATGATGATGAGGAGGCTGAGGAGGAGGAGGAGGAGGAGGAGGAGGAGGACGAGGAGGATGTGTACGAGAACAAGGCCAGGACGGCGACGGGCACAGCGGCGGCGGACAGTTCAGATCACCATGGTGGAAACGGGCGAGCCATCAAGGACCAAGATGCCCTAAATGTTTTTTGGCCGCTTGCGGCCTCTCGGGGCAATTGTCTGGGCCCTGGGGCCGTCAAATAAAGCTGGGCCCAGGGTAGGCCCAGGGGTCAATCCAGCGGGTC